GTGCAAGCGGAAATCAACTGTGAGTGTGCTTCAAAATGATGTGTGCATAATGCATCACACATATACACACATGAACATTTCAGTTTACAATATTTGTGCAAGCTACGCAAACAATGGCAACGTATCTGCTTTCATTTGGAACATGTTACCGAAATTGCCAGCAGAACGTATGAGTGACATTTATTTCAATATTGGTTTTCATTGTAAGTGCCACTATGCAATATAATTTATGAAAATATTTGAAAAAATAATTAGCAATTGAAAATATTTATGAATTTTATATGCTTTTGTTAAGCTCATAAGGGACGGTAGGTGTTTTTAGAAAGGGATAAAAAGAATTTGATGATTTGTTTAAATTAGTATAAAATTGTGAATAAATTTAGTGAAAAAATTGCAATTAATTAAAATGGGTTAGCTGAATCTATTTAATAAAGACTTAAAACAATAAAAATATATTATAAGTAATTGAAAAAAGAGTTAAAATATATTGATTGTTTCTTTGAGCGTTAATTATTACAGCTGATAACATAAATTTATTGAACTTAATTAATATAAAAAAGTTCTTTTGTGTGACCATTTGTATGGTCCCTGCTATGACTAGAGAGAGATTTCCCGAGTAACCCTGAGTAAGGGGTTAAAACTTTGTCAAGGTACGGTATGCCTGTCGTCTAAAATCCGACTAAAATCCTGTCGCTAGGACGACATTATCAGAAAATATACATGGTAGTTAGTGACACGACACTTGCGATACCCGACCGGAGTATAAATGTGGTACTACTGTGGTCAAGTGCTCACAGCTTCGGTTGTCCTGACCAACTGAGGCTGGCAATGTCGAAGCGGCTGTGGTTAATACCTAAATTTACGCGAGAAGAATGATTGGTATACATTTCTCATCATTCGGCGTGGTGTTACGTATTCATCACCGGGTGCTGTGACCCAAAAATCGGCAGAGATTTTAAATGGGTTTCGTTCCTTACCGGGAAGGAAGTTATGTCCTGAATACTTAACTTCACTGGAACCAGTGAAATGTTTTGGAATTTCATCGAGGCGTTGATTGACGCATTGTAATAACACGTGTGTTTTCAAACACTGTCGTGTTGAGCCACCAAGGCAGGTAATCACAGAAATAATTCTGGAATTCTTACGAGACATATTTTTACGAGTCTGAAGAGTGTTTACACTCAAAGAATAATGTTAAATTGCAATAAAATATAAATTGATAATTAAGTCTAAAGAGGACTTTAGAAAAAAGCTGTACTTATTTATTAAGTCTCCGATCTAATGGAACATGGAACATGCTTAAACGAATACTATAAAACATTCCATAATATTTCATGCAGATTGCAGTGGATTGTACTTAAAATTTTCAAAGTTTTTTATTTTTGTATCCACTTCTTATGCATTTTTTTATTAGTTTCATAAAATTTTCAAATATATGAAGTAAGTTTTCATTTATATATACCATAGTACATATATCCTATTGCTATTTCAAACTGACAATCAATTTTTTACTTAATTCTATCACAAAATGAAAGTTTCTAAGTTTATTTCAATAAATTCGTTTTTCTTTATAAATTGGGAAACTTTTTTGTGCTCTTGAACGTTTCAATTATCTTAAGGTAAAAATAGTTTACGAAATCTTGCCAAAAATCATACCTATTTTTGTCAGAATATAGCAAGATATTATGAAATGAAGATAGAACTACAGTAAACCAAATATGGAGTCAGTTATATATCTTTATTTATAAGTTGTTTTGTGCTGAGGAAAAAAATATTTCAATTTTTTTATGGTTTTTGCTTCTGAAAACTTTTGCTTATTTCAGTTTTTTATCTTTAATAAGAATTTTCCTGTTACAAGACCTTTTTACCCAACAGCGAACAGCTGTGCTTTTTCGCAAGTGAAGTAGTTTCGCACAGAGTTCACGTATGAAAAGGGTAAACCCTCACTCAATGAGACTACAACTTTAGTTTGCGAAATGAATAATGGAAGTATGTACTCTCGCTGAAAATTTGCTACGTCACTGCGAAGAGAAGGCGGTGTATCTTTAATGCATATATGAAAACAGTTAAGTTGAAGCAGTCAACTTGTCATTGCAAATAAATTTATAAATTTTTATTCGATTGTGACGAGGATACATGTGCTCTCTTAAAAAAAAAAAACACTTCAATGAAGATATCATATGCAATGTAAAATATACAACAAAAGGCAGCCAGAATTTTGGTTAGTATTGCATGATTAAATAAAAATGCTTAAAGTGAAATATCACAATGAAAATACTTTAAATTCGAGTTGAAATAGTTGGTTTCATTTGAGAAACTAAATTGCAGAATTAACTAGAATTTTCAGCTAGATTTATATCCAGTTTTTGTTTATTTATTTTTCATATCACAAATAAAATTGAAAGAGTAAAATGTAAAATTATTTTATTGTTTATTATATCATTTTATATTTCCAAGTGCATACATATTTTAAATGCTTCATACGAGTATGTCGGAGCAATAAAATAATTGTGCATTTAAAACAGCAAGGATTTTCAAAACTGAATATGCATGCAATATAAAAATATATAAAGAAAATCGTTTTTAAAATACATAACTGAAAGCTCGAAAGTGCACAATAATGCCAACAGACTACAACCCCACAACAATAGTCCAATATATGTAGCATCTAAAAACCCACAGAATGCATGTCACAGCTGGAATGTTAGTAAATGATATGGGAGTCAACAAGATGCTGTACACCAATTGGGTTGGCATAAGCTCCATTAAGTGCATGTTAACTATTCACATACGAGCATCAGCTCGTTTGTGCCATCTTTGTTGCTGGTGATAGTGCTTTTTATTATTATTTCTATTTTTTACTATCCTTTGTTGTTTTTTAGTCCTTTATTGTTGTGTAATTGTACATATCATTGTGTATATAATTATATAAATCAAAGTTTTTATTTAGTTTATTTAACTTGTCCGAATGGGAGTTAGCTATTCACATAGTACGTGTTAATATGTTGGCAGTATTACACGGGGGATCTGTTGTTTATGTCCAGAGTATATAAAAAGTAACCCACTGGGAATTTAATTATTGCACATTACATTCTACCCACATAAAGCAAATAGAAAATAATAAAGTTAAATTAAATAAATAAACAAGCAGGAAACTACAAATACTCAAAAGGACTTTAAATATATCAAGAAATATGTAGTTCCAAAGAACTTATTAAGTGAGACAATAAAAACACAGTAGTATTGTATTAAGCCTTTTGGGTTATAAGTAAAATATATATTTTTTAGAAGTTGTAAATTGTGTAAGAGCACAGATGAAAATTTTAATTCACTTTAATTGGAAGGGTACAACGATTTGTTGAAGTAGTAAATAATCCGTTGTTGATTATTGAAAGAAGAACCTACATAAAACTCAAAGAAATATAATAATATGGATTGATTTTTTTGATCGAATGTGAAGCTTCTAGAATGAAGAAGTCTAGTATAGTTTGAATAGAAATGAAGAATGAACAACAAAAATTTAATAATTTATTCGACTTTGGCTGAAATTGAAATTTATATTATTCTTGTTACTTCACTGCTATTCGAACCCTTAAAAGTTTCATTTTTATAGTTCCTACAAAATTTTTGAAGTATCATTTAATTTCATTAGGTCTTTACATACTTATTAAAATGAAAAATATTTAAATATGTGCATAAATTTGTTGAAAAGTAAGGCTAGATACAGAAGTTCGGTACATTTATGATAGCTCCTCGAAATTACACGTCTTACTTCTTTTGTTTGATATTATATTATCTGACAGAAGACATAATCAGAAGATATTGTTGATGAATATTTAGATAGATATTGTGGATGAAAAAGTAGCTTTGTTGTGTGTTGTATATCATAATAGATTCAACTTTAAAGATTTCGCATGAAAGATTGCAACAGAAAGTTTGTATATTGGTATGATATGCAAAAATTTGAAGGAAATGGTGCCAAGTTTCTTTATATCGTTAGAGTATTCAATCAATTAGACCACCCAACTTAAAATAAAGCAAAGGATATAAAGGCACATCCTCCTCGATTTTTAGGATGTCAGCGAAATCCAAGAGTTCTGTAAAAGGCGGTCAAATTCAGAGTTTGATCCAAAACATGTTTTATCAAGAAACACAAAAAAATGCTTATGACCGTAAATGTTAAAAAAAGTCTGCCCGGTATTAACTAGCAAAAAACTCCAAAATTATGTAAAGAATTCGATAGATGTGTGAAGAATGTCGTGCGTATCTTATTAAATTGTATTTTTTTACGTGTGAGATTTGCATTAAAAAAGAAACCACGTTAACACACAAATCTTAACTGAAGAAACCTTAAATTATTAAAGAAATATAAAATATTCTCAATCATTAGCTATGAAAATTTTTCAATTTCTGTTAACTTATACATTCCGCTCGAAAAAACCGGTCATTTTCTGGAGTAAGTAGTGTTTGGAACCAAGTATTAATACAACGGATTAAAGTGATATGAATTGCAGGAAAGACACTCTAATTCAACTAAATAGATACTAATCATTAAGAACAAGGTCGGTAATATACAACTGTTGAGGAAAAACTTCTCATCTACTGTTTGGGAAATAATTTGTAACTGGTATAGCAAGATATAGAGTGGCGTTGCCATATTAAAAAATAATGAATTTGTGTTTGATTACATTTTCTGTCTGTTTTTCATGTCATATTTTCATTTAGAATTAGACATTCAGACTTTTAGTAGCTTATTATGTACTTGTATGACATATTTTTGATGCCATCAAATGTAAAGTGTGGTCGAGCGACACAGAATTTAATTGAAACTAACTGTTGCTTTTGTCTATCAGTAGTATACTGACTCATTTATTCTCTTAAAATTTACATGACATATGTGTTGTGAACTCTTTGCTTAAAAACTAAAACTATCATTGTTTCATTATCATTTCAATTTAATATCGATTGTCATCGAGAATATATCACAAGTGCATACTCACATTCGATTTCCATGTTTTTGTCTTTTCAAATGATTGTTAAAGTTCTTCTTGCACTTGACAGAAATCTTGATCGAGTAATGCTTCTAATTTTGCATTTTCAAAGTTATTTGTGTGACAAAGTCACTCTTTGCTTTTGATTTCAACGACATCAATTGACGGTAAACATTAAAAACACTCAGTTGTGATTATGGCATTATCTCTACAAACTTCTTAAAGCAATTTTCTGTTGCTGTTTTCTGTTGATATTCTGTCGATTTTCAAGAGCAGTTTCCTTTCACAAAAAGGAAGCCCACGTAATATTTAACACAAATTTTGGTTTTTTTGAAAATTTTTTGATAAAAGCAAATATTTTCTAGCCACAGAAAATAAAAGTTTATTTTCAACTGAAACTGCTCCACTCAGTTTCAAAAACCAAGGTAAAATAGGATTCAGTTCTAAAGTTCTTGTCATTAGGTTGTGGATAAAATATGGAATACTGATTTGACTTCGTTTTGAAAATATTTGACCATATTTAATAGCTTCCATATTTAATGGAGTAAAAGATAAGGTAAAATTGAAATTAAAATCAAAATATGTATGAATATATAATACCCAAACAAATACATATTTATATTTGAAACGGTTTTTATAATAAAATAATACATGAAAAACTAAAATTTATGCACAAAAGTTGCGTCAAAAACAATCAGGCATTGAATAACATTATAATGTATATATATTGTATATTAGCATTATGAAATTAAAGTGATTAAAATCACTACATTCTAACATAATGTGTTTTGTAACACATTATTGCTTAGCATACCATTAAAAATTAATCCTATAAAAATTATTAACTAACAGTTTTTACAATTTAGGGACACGTTTTATGCTCCCACAAGGGCACACTATTTCCATTTTGTAATTTTATTGCACCCTTATGGGCTTAATAAAAGAAACCTATTTGTGGTAATAATAAAATTAAGTACCAAATTTATAATTACACACGGGTATCAAATAGGAGAAGGTTTCAACAGATTTCTTAACTTCTAAGCACACATAAGGCTTCTCAAAAGTGTAAGGTTATATGTTTAAATTATGTACTTTACATATTTTTATATACACACAGGCACATATTTTTAAATTACTGCAGTAAATGTGACAGTTTGTGCGACTATGACCGTTTAAGGTCGACCATTTGGAATACGAAAGCGGAACACAAGTGGTTTAATAGTCCTTTCAAGGCCCATTTTATCCTGATATATCATGTATGACACTTTATGATTTTTATCGTATTTATTTATGAGAGTGTTTTGTTTTTTAAAAACATTGTTTATTGCTACAAAGCCGTAAGTATTACGCTCAACAACTAGAAAAACTTGTTAACATAACCCCGAACAGTGTTAATAAAATACGAAAAAAGCAAACAATGGGAAATATGATAATGATACGGAAAAAAACCACTATGAAAGTATACTGACAGGCGATTATGAATTGTTGGCAGTTTTGAATGAAAATTGTGGCAACACCAGCATAAAGGATGCTTTATTACATGCTTTTTCTGCCTTTACGCAGGATATGAATATGTTCAAAGTTTGCGTATCATTTTCGTTTCAAATTTAGCATACCATTTGCATATGAGCCAGTTTGCGTTCCGAGTACTACAATAGCCAAGAATGGGTAACTATATTTGTGTGCGAATGTGAGTATATAAAAGGACTGCGTACGCAAATAGACGTTTAAAGGACCAATCAGTATGAGAGTGGCTGGATTTATAAAAAAGGTGTGTAAAGGGTATACTTAGGGGCATAGGTAGATTTAGGTGTTGAATATGTGAAAAATGTTGATGTGCATTATTAATTTTCGTTACAGGAACAGATAAGTTAAGTATGAAGATGTTCCCGGATATTGCGATTATAAATTTAAGAAATGGTGTATATATTTATATAAGAATATCTATTATATATAATTTTTGTTGATAATAAACATATATTAATAGCAATTATTTAAAAATATCAGATGAAAAATATCAAAAAAGATTTTTATATAATATATATTGTGTGTCAATTGTTTCCTTATACTTTTAGTACCCAATGTATATTGAAGAATTAATTATGCAAGAATAATCTAGTGAAAAACATTTAGATGTTTAGGAAAAATATGAATGCAGCCACACTTATAATATAATTAACTACTTATTACCTGCAAATATATTTAAAAAATAATAATTCTTAGTTTAAAGCAGGGCTGTGCAAAGTAAGGCCCGCGAATCGCATGTGGCTACTGTTTATGCACCCCGCGACATGTTTTAAACCTACTACAATGACGCAAATTTTCTTTTGGTGTGCTGGTAAAACTACATTATTTCATTTTTATGGTATGCCTAATAAATGAATTTAAATTGATAAATTAATAATTGTATAATTGTATTTATAATGTTATAATATATTTATATTAACAACTGTGTATATATGTGTGTATATAACTTGTAATGACCCGTGATTGCATCTGGTCTGGATAGCCCTGTTTTAAAGGATCTAAATAAATATGATATATATAACCGGAAATTATAGACAGTTTAAACCCAGATAAGTATGCATAATAAGTAATTGCTTATTTATAAGCAATATGTATTGAAGTCATTTCGGAATCTAAATCTTTTCGAAGAGATTGTGAATATATTTATAATAAATAGCACTTTACGTAAATTATCAATAATCAATACTTACATTATCAATAATATTGATTACAGGTTTCTTTTTCCTTTTTGTGATATTTTAATTGCACTAGTTCAGAAACTATTCTGGCTACTGATATCTTTGAATTTATTTACATCACCCTGTTTTTCAATTACTAAGACTAAAACAGTGTTTTTGCAGCCTCATTGCGTATTATTTTTTCCTTTCAAGTTTTTAAACCATTTGATAAAGCAGCATGTGTTTTATGCAATTTTTGGAGCTATTACATTTCAACTTTCACATGCAACATGAGTATACTCCATAGTACTAAATACGAGCTCATGTGCATATATCTGTATGCTAGAAATATTTTCCTATATGATAATACACAAATATATAGCGTATAGCGTTTTAGCACAAATAACGTGTCCAACAAAAGTTTTTGGCACTGTTTTAAGCAGCTGCGTGCAAAATAGTTTTAAACTATTTGAAGCTAAAGTTGAACTTAATAGTCTTTTTTTATTTTGCTTTCGCATAAAGGACTATTTGAAAAGTGCACTAAAACAAAAGGACTTTTGTGAAAGTGAATTGAAGTAAGCCATAAAATTTAAAATCTATTTTTTTTAAAACAATTTAAACAATGTTTTAAACTGTATGCGTATTTAGCATATACTAAATTTAAAAAAAATAAAAAAAAAACAATTATTACCACTTAAGTATATAATATAATTGTTAATAAAATGAAGTGTTCTGTACTTATATATATTATAATCTTCAATGTGAAAAATACAATAAAATGTACCATAAGTCAAATGCTACATATATAAGGTGAAATAACAATAAAAAAAAATTTAAAATATATCTGCTTGAATAAATACACTTGATTCAAGAGTGATTACTAGTCATTCTTATTTAAGTTAAAGAACATTATTTTAATTATGTTTAATAGTACTTTATAAAGAAATTTAAATATCTCCTTCAATTTCTTTAAGAGCACTAAAATAATCGTTTTCATAAGAATAACAAATTTTTAATTAGAAAAAATTGCAGTTTATTGGTACAAATATATTGACGTGCCTTATGCGCAATTTCTTATATGAAAAAAATTATATATATTTTAAATTCCATATTTATTCCATAGTATACCACACAAGTACGTATTTACTCAACTTTTATTCAATTTAACAATTATATGAATTTTTAATACCGAGTCCTTGTTGTTTCTGGCACTTATTCAACCGAACC